GCCTATTATGCTAATGAGTTCCTGCTGGGTGTGGCCAACTCGGGAGCGAGCCGGAACTCCGTTCCTGCCCAAAAATAGCCCTGGGGGTCCCCAATGTGGTGCCCTTGGGCACCAGGGTGTCCACCAGAACCTGCACTAGAGCCCATCAAGTGGTTTTAGATAGTGGGCGGGGCCAGAGGGCGCTTTTGCCCAGCAAGGCTTCTGATTGGCCACAGGAGATTTGATTGGTTGTGCAGATATATAAGAGCATTGCTTTGACAGTAGCGGCCACCCTAGCACAAGGATCTTCACTGTGGAACGGAAGAAGAGCTGCCAGTCTCCAGTTTGGGATGGGGAGACCAGTGTTCCCTCTAAGCTGTGGAGTCTTGTGAGCAAAAATTCTACTTTGCGAGCTACCGGCATTAAAGTTGTGAGCGAGGGATTTGGCTGCTCCATCAATCAGTTTGCTCTGGAGCCATCCCTTCCTGAGCTCAGACAAAAATAATATGTGAGTCGGAGGCTAAAAAACTGCGAGCTAGCTCACACTAACTCAGCTTAGAGGGAACACTGGCTTGGAGCCCCTCCCCCAGTTCAGGGGTATTAGAAACCAGGGGAAATTAACCCCTCCCCCAAAAAAACAGGTAAAAAGCCAAAAATAATCAACGATGTCCCTGCGTCACCCAGAAGTGACTAGTAATGTGGGGGGAACGCTCTGGTTTTTGGGCAAAACTCTATGGTAAGAAGCTAATTCTACCATAGAGTTTTGCCCACAAACCACAGCGTTGCCCCCGACATCTCTGCGCCACTTCCAGGTGACGTAGGCACGTCGCCTTTATTTCTGGCTTCTTCCCTCTCCGCTCCCGGTAAGTGCACCCCCCCATCCCCCGCCCACTCAGCTGAGGGACCTGGCGACCCTAGATTGGAGGTGAGCTGGGGCAGCCATTTTGGGTTGTTGTGTCGCTGTGCCAGAATCCCAAAGGTGCCCGTAGACCAACGCTCCCTCTAAGCTGTGGAGTCTTGTGAGCAAAAATTCTACTTTGTGAGCGACTGGCGTTAAATTTGTGAGCAAGCGATTTGGCTATGGCATAAATTAGTTAAGGCAAAAATGTGTGAGCCGGAGGCTAAAAAACTGTGAGCTAGCTTGCCCTAACTCAGCTTAGAGGGAACACTGCCGTAGACTCAAAAAGGGCTGGGGACCCCTGCTGTAAGGGACCTGGGGAGGCCGCGTGTGGCCCTGAGCAAACTGGCCAGGCACGATGTAGAGCATTGGTTCCCAAGTACGAAGCGACCTGACGAAGCATTGAGGGAAACAGATCGTTGACCTGGGAAATCTGTAGTCGCATGGCAGTTGTTGGAAGCAGCAGCAGCAGCACTGCATGACGTAGAATAAAGAAAGAAAAAGAAGAGAGAAGCAAATGGTTTGTGGTTTGAGTGGCGGCTCGGTCCCGTCGAGGTGGAGTTCAAACTAATTCTGGTCCATCCCCCCCCCGGTTCTCCATCAAGGCCTGTGATTCCGTGTCCCCCACCTGCTCCTTCTCCTGGCCTCTGACGGAACTGCTCCAGGCTACGGGTAACTTCTCCGACCACCTGAAGATCGGCGAAGGCGGCTTCGGCTGCGTCTACCAGGCCCGGCTTCGCAATACCGAATACGCTGTCAAACGGCTCAAGGAGGTATAATCCAGTGGGTAAGGGCGGGGCAGGGTCTTCTGGCTTGCGGCCCTTTACCCTCTGACGTCTGCCTCTTCCACATCTCTCTTTTCACCTTCCCAGCTAACCTCGGGAAGGAAGGAGGATCATAGCTCGGTAGCGGGAGGGTGGTGGTGGTGTTCTGCATGGGTCCATATCTCGTTCTTGGCGGCTCCAGTTGAAGAGCCTCTGGACAGCTGGGCTAGGCTAAACATCTGCTTGAGCTGCCGGAGTTTTGCAGCCGGCCAGGGGTATAGTGGCAGGAACTCGAGCCGAGATAACTCTGCTCCATCTCGCTGTTGCTCTCTGGTGTGGTGGTTAGGAGCGTGGACTCTAATCTGGGAGAACCAGGTTTGATTCCCCACTCCTCCACATGCAGCTGCTGGCGTGACCTTGGGTCAGTCACAAGTTCTTTCAGAGCTGTTCTCTCAGGAGCAGTTCTCTCAGAGCTCTCTCAGTCTCACCTACCTCACAGGGTGTCTGTTGAGGGGAGGGGAAGGGAAAGGAGTTTGTGAGCTGCTCTGAGACTCCAAGTGAAGGGCGGGCTATAAATCCAATACTCTCCTCCTCTTCCTCCTCTTCAGTTTCAGAAGAAGAAGAAGAAGAGATTGGATTTATACCCCGCCCTTCACTACCCAAAGGAGTCTCAGAGTGGCTTACAAACTCCTTTCCCTTCCCCACCCCACCACTGACACCCTGTGGGGTAGGCGGGGCCGAGAGAGCTCTTGACAGAAGCTGCTCTTTTTTTCAAGGACAGCTCTTATCAGAACTACGGCTTGCCCAAGGTCATCCAGCCAGGTGCAAGTGGAGGAGTGGGGGAATCAAACCCAGTTCTCCAAGATTACAGTCAGCGCACTGAACCACTATGCCAAACTGGCTCTCGAGTTTAGTTTATTGTAATTAGCCATTGGCCGTCACAAAATTGCAAAACACAAATTGTGAGCAAGCTTTAGGTTAGAGTCAGAATAGACAAAAGTACCAAAGATCAGTAACAAAAGATGACTCATTCAATACAGTAGCCTAAATAGCGCCCCTTCCCAATGCCACCTTGGAACGTGTATTCTTTGCAGCAAGGGCAAATAATGAAACCTTATAAGAGACATAGGCATCAGTGTCATAACAAAAATGAATTTTTTTCCTCAACTGGGTAAGCACTAAGACCAGATAAAATACCTGCAAAAAATTTAGCCCTCGGACTAGAATACAGTGGGCAAAAGAGAATATAGTGAGGTAAATCCTCAAGTTCGTGGGTCTTCTCCTTCTCTTCCTCCTATTTCTTCTCCTCCTCCTCCTGTTAACCCTGGAGAGCAGCTGCCAGCCTGAGTAGACAATACTGACCTTGATGGACCCAGGGTCTGATTCAGTATCAGGCAGCTTCATTGCATGTTCAGGCTTCAGTCCTGAAGTGCATTCAGGCCTGCCTACTCCCTCCTCCCCAGAATGCCAGGGCTCCATCCCTTCCCAATCCCAGCCCCGTTCATTCTGCTGACGGGAAACGCCTTCCCCATGTCGACTTACTGACAGCTTGCCTCTTTCTTCTTTAATTGGACAGGAAGCAGAGCTGGACTGGACAGTGATAAAGGACAGCTTTGTCACCGAGGTGGAGAAACTCTCACGGTAAGCACTATAAAGCTTGGCCTGGCTCGGGACCGGGGTATCTGAAGGGACCGTCTTCTCTCATGCGTTCTTGCGTGGGAATTGAGATCCCAGGGAGAGGCCCTCTTGACTGTCCCACCTAGCAAAGAAGCACACGAGACGGGGCCTGTTCGGTGGCAGCCCCACGATTATGGAGCAGCCTCCCCAGGGAGGTAAATCCAAACAACAAGGGGAAAAGACTAGTGTCACGGGAGTCCCAAATATACAAATTCCACGAGTAGAAAACACCATCAAGGATTGCCAAAATAATATATTAAACAATTATAAAGTTGGTGGTGTCACAACAACAACATTAGTGCGTACTGTAACTATAATAAGGCATAAGATGCAGTCTTTCCTCCTTTGAAGAGAAGACATAAAGTCCATGTAGTCAGTGTAACTTGATAGGAAACCTGATTTCGCTTTTCACACTATGAACCTTGTGGTCTGTTGAAATCGCTGAAATCAGGTTCCACCTGCACAGCTGGCAAAATGAAGAAGTCGAAGGAAATGCATCTTCCAAGTATCTTGAACGGGCGTCTTTGCACAGGCTGTTTGGAAAATGTTATGACTATGTGGACTCCTCCTCTCAAGTTACACCGAATACCTGGACTTTATGTCTTATCTTCAAAGGAGGAAATATTGCCTCTTATGCCCTATTATAGTTACAGTATGCATTAATGTTGTTGTTTTTGTGACACCACCAACTTTATAATTGTTTAATATATTGTTTTGGCAATCTTTGATGGTGTTTTCTACTAGTGGAATTTGTATATTTGGGACTCCCCAGCAAGGTAAGCCTGGCCCTCTCGCTGTCAAACTTCGGGAGGCAGTTTAAGACCATTTTATTTACGACTGCCTTTGACTGATGTAGTTTTTATTTATTGGCAGTCCTGGCTGGAGATTTTGAATCGTGACCTTTTACATGTTTTCATAGTTGTTGTTGTTTATTATATATATATATTTTGGATTTATATTCCGCCCTCCCCGAAGGCTCAGGGCGGCTTACAACAAGGCATAAATGCCAAAGTTAAAACAGTAAAAACAATAAAACAATACAGTACAATTCACTAAAATGTCGGTGCTCCAAAGGTCACATAGATCGTAAATTACAAGATGGGGTTCTGGAGTTATTAATACCAGACCAACAACATACGTCCCAACAGCACTGTCATCCCATCTTCAACCAGGAACGTCTCGCACCCCAATGATACCCGCCCTCCTGCCAGCCTAGCAGTTCGAAAGCAAGAAATTGCAAGTAGATAAACAGGTACCACTTCGGTGGGAAGGGAACAGCATTCCATACGCCTCGGCGTCGAGTCATGCTGGCCACATGACCACGGACACATCTTTGGACAGCGCTGGCTCTTTGCCTTGGAAACAGAGATGAGCACCGCCCCATAGAGTCAGATTCGACTGGCTTTGGAGCAAGGGAAACCTTTACCTTTTACCCTTTTAGTGAGCAGAGCAGTTCACATCCAGAGCAGAATGTAACTGCTGTCATCTTAAAACAGGCAACGGGCAGTGCAAGACCCTGCGCGGATCCAGACTGTTGCTGAGCGGGGCTGCCTGGGTTAATGAGCGGCCGCTCACAGGCATCGCTTAGAGGGAACACTGATTGACACTGCCCGTTCTTGTCCCCAGGTTCCGCCACCCGAACATTGTCGAGTTTGCGGGTTACTGTGCCGAAGGAGGCAACTTCTGCCTTGTCTACGTCTTCCTCCCCAAGGGCTCCTTGGAGGACCACTTGCACGGGCAGGTACCTTTTCACCTTTCCGCTCTTCTTCTCCTCGCCCCCCTGGTTCTCGAGGAAAGGGAGACCGTCAACACCTCGCCGTGTAACCAGCCGGTTTTGTTTTGTTTCTCAGGCTGGCCTCTGCCTTTCCTGGGCCCAGCGGCTCCGCGTGGCGGTGGGGACGGCCAGAGCCATTCAGTTCCTGCACAGCGATTCCCCTAGCCTCATCCATGGGGACGTCAAGAGGTAAGAGCAGGGGTCCCCAACGTGGTGCCCGCGGGCGCCGTGGTGCCTGCCAGCACATTTTCTGGCATCCGCCAAGTGTTGTTGGTGGGTTTTTTTTAGGGAAGTGGATGGGGCCAGGTAGGGCTTTTGCCAGTTTGGCGTAGTGGTTAAGTGCGCGGACTCTAATCTGGGAGAACCAGGTTTGATTCCCCACTCCTCCACTTGCACCTGCTGATGGGACCTTGGGTCAATCACAAGCTCTGGCACAGCTGTCCTTGAAAAAAGCAGTTTGTGTCAGAGTTCTCTCAGCCCCACCCACCTCACAGGGTGTCTGTTGTGGGGAGGGGGAGGGAGAGGAGATTGTAAGCCGCTCTGAGACTCCCAAGTGAAGGGTGGGGTATATAAATCCAATCTCCTCCTCCTCCTCCTCCTCCTCCTCCTCCTCTTCTTCTTCCT